ACCCCATCAGGCCTTAATGAGAAGTAGGCCCCTGGGGGGGCTGGCGCAGAGGCGCCTGTGCACAGGGGGATCTGCTGCCTCGGTGGTGGACCCCTCTCCTTTCCAGAATCCCTAACCCTAACCCTCTCCATTGCAACCGCCCAGTCGTCGGACGAGGCGGGGAGAGTCATCGAGAGAGTATCCTCTTGTACCTAACCCTAACCCTACCCTAACTCTAACCCTAACCCTAACCCTAACCCTAACTTGGTTGGAACTTACCTTCTTATTTTTGAGGATTTTATCCTTATGGTTTTTTGTCTAATTTTTTTGTTTCCTTCCTCTCTTCTCCTCTTCTTCTCTTCTCTTCTTCTCTTCTCTTCTCTTCTCTTCTTTCCTTTCTTCTCTTCTCTTCTCTTCTTCTCTTCTCTTCTCTTCTCTTCTCTTCCCCTCTTCTCCTCTCTTCTCCTCTTCTCTTCTCTTCTTTTTTCTTTTCTTTTCCCTTCTTTCTTTTCTTCTCTTCTCTTCTCTTCTCTTCTCTTCTTCTCTTCTCTTCTCTTCTCCTCTTCTCTTCTCTTCTCTTTTCCTCTTCTCTGCTCTTCTTCTTTTCTCTTCTCTTCTCTTCTTTTCTCTCCTCTTCTCCTCTTCTCTTCTTCTCTTCTTCTCTTCTCCTCTTCTCTTCTCTTCTCTTCTTCTCTTCTTCTCTTCTCTTCCCCTCTCTGCTCTTCTCTTCTCTCCTTTTCTCTTCTCTTCTCTTCCCTTCTCTCCTCTTCTCTTCTCTTCTCCTCTTCTCTTTTCTTCTTCTCTTCTCTTCTCTTCTCCTCTTCTCTTCTCTTCTCTCCCCCTCTTCTCTTCTCTCCTCTCTTCTCTTCTTTTCTCCTCTTCTCTTCTCTTCTCCTCTTCTCTTCTCTTCCCTTCTCTCCTCTTCTCTTCTCCTCTTCTCTTCTCTTCTTCTCTTCTCTATTTCTCTTCTTCTCTTCTCTTCTCTTCCTTTCTCTTCTCTTCTCTTCTCTTCTTCTCTTCTCTTCTCTTCTCTTCTCTTCTTCTCTTCTCTTCTCTTCTCCTCTTCTCTTCTCTTCTCTTCTCCTCTCCTCTTCTCTTCTCTTCTCCTCTTCTTTTCTTTTCTTTTCTTCTCTCTTCCTTTCTTTATTTTTATTTTTACCAAAGGCAATAGGCCCGATTTATCGGACCTGTGCCCTGGTTCTAGCTTTGTTGGAATTTATTTAGTTGTAGTGTTCCTTCCTTTTGTAATGATTATTGTACTTGAACTTAATTGGCTATTGGACACACAGCAGGGACTGATCATCCCTGTCTGGGCCGTCCTCGAGAGAGGGTGTCTAGTGATAATGGCCGAAACACCCGATGATCTTGAGGTCCACTACTGATGATGTGTTCCAAAAATTTCTTTTATTCAATATAATTCTAGTTTTCTTTTTACCTTTGCTGTATGATCTATACTTACCTTGGCAAC